TAAGGTCAAAATGATTAGCCTCTTTAAGCAATTTTTTATTTCAATAGTCTACAGAACAAACCATCGTTATACAATAACTTGCCTAATTCCCCTAACCTGCCTAGTTAACCTAATTAACCTAGTTACGCCTTTAAATGTAACTTTAAGCTGTATAGAAGCGTCTTGAAAAATATCTAGTAAAATATTATTTACTGTTATCATGGCAAAGATCAAATAAATCAGTTATTAGAAATGGGATATTAAAACTATTATGTTTAGAAATTGATTGGAAAAAATCTTCTCTACGTTAAACAGAAATTGGGGGGAAATATAAACAGTGGGGCGAATAATTCAGGGGGTTTAATAATTCTGGCCTCAGCTGTACATAAAGTACAATAAGAAAGCAGTTATTTAAAAATGTAATAACTATTTAACAATTTTTAATATTTAATAAATGCCGCCTTCATGAACAGAATAATTTTCATTTTCAAAATATATATATATATATATATATATATATATATATATATATATATATATATATATATATATATATATATATATATTGAGGTAAGAAGTGAAAATGAATATCTGTAGAGGTGATTATCGAACACCCAATAAAGCTGCGGTCACACTGGGCTTTTCCTCCCATAGACTCCCCATTCATAGGCACCCGAATGCATCAGACCGGAAACGCGGTCAAGTTTCGCAGGTTGCTGCGGCGCAAAGTTTAAGCTTGGTGAACTCTGACCTGCGAAATCGCATCACTTGACTGCGTGAGACCAATCGAGGATCAAAACATGACCTTTTTGTACAGAAATTTAAAACATGGAGAGATCGCTCACTTTTTCAAAATGCCTAATTCGCTTGTTTATTCCCGCCCCTTTTCGCAGCGCTGCACGACCGAATATCGCACACACAAACTCTAGTGTGAACGTAGCTTGAGGGGGGAAGAACATGCTCAGAGCCTGGCGGCTAATTAGCAGTAATAATAAATCACACCTGTTTATTCTAGTGATTGGCCGGAGAGACACCCTTCTTGAGGAGAAAGAAGGAGCAGCCAAGAATGGAGAGAGTGCACACACACAGCTTTACGTGTGGTGGCAGTCATTAAATTTATTTATTCATTTATTTTATTTTATTTTAATTTTATTTTCTTTAAAACTTGACCTTGACTTATACCGCCGACCCTGTCGACCCTACAAACGAATTTTACTACAGAATGTTTATATCAGTTACATTAATATAGCTTTTTTATTATTATGTTATTGCATATTTATATGGGAAATAATTGTATATTATCATTATGTTTCAATTGTATTTATTATTTATTATTATTTAATTTTTATTATTATCATATCTTTTAAACAGTGGATGCCCTTACAGCTACAACACCAATACGCTATTATTCACACACATACACTACGCACAATTTAGTTTATTAAATTCACCTATAGCACAGGTCTGTGGGGAAAAACACGCAAACACGGTAAGAATGGGCAAACTCCACACAGAAATGCCAACTGAGCCAGCTGTGACTCGAACCAGCAACCTCCTTTCTGTGAGGCGACTGTGCTAACCACTGAGCCATCATATCACCTCTGACTATAATATATGAATAATATAATATTTTAATATGAAATTACAGAAAATAGACCTTTATGTACTTTAATAACCCAAGTAGCTTAAATTCTGCGTAACGTACCATTGCAAGTATTTGTAAATATTTTGTTCATATAATTTTTTTGTCCATTTTTAGTTGTAAAAACTGCACCTAATCTCGTTAACAAACTATAAAGTTAAATCCTAGACAAAAATGCAGACGAGATGTTTTAATTGGTGATATGTTTAACACAGAGTAAAAGTGACAGTGGCAGATCATCATTACTCACACTGACTCATCAACAAGCCCACAGGCCGTCATTAATGGAGAACTCAGAAAAACTTACAAACCAATATTAGCTTTCATGTGCACTGTCTCTAAAATAAAATCACACCAAGTTAAAATGTAAAAACTTAAGTAGTTTATGCTATTTAATATATGTTAGTGTATATTGTTTAATCCTCAAAATACTTCTAATATGGAAACATCTTTTAGCAAGACATCTACAGAGGATTTTAAAGGATTTGCCCTCAGTTAATTTGCTCTCATGAACAATATAACACGTCTTCCCTCTCCATTGTACACAAACTGTCATTAAATGTGTTTCAATTGAAAGCAGAGCATGAAATGGATCAATACATTAGACTTGTGCATCAATCTTAAAGTCGCCATAAAACAGAGGTAAAGACTGTCCTTTTTTTCTCTTTTGTGATTTACAGTTGAACTCAGAATTATAAGCCCCCCTTTAAATTTTTGTTTTCTTTCTCAAATATTTCCCAAATGATGTTAAACAGATTTTTACAGTCTTTTCTATAATATTTTCTCATCTGGAGAAAGTCTTATTTGTTTTATTTTTTGCTATAACAAAAGTAGTTTTAAATTTTAAAACAATTTTAAGGTCAAACTTATTAGCCCTCTTAACTAATATTGTCTACAGAACAATATTAGCATTTTATATGACTTGCCTAATTAACCAAGTTAAGCCTTTAAATTTCACCTCTGTCATCATACTGTCATCATACTGCCACCATGGTAAAGATAAAATAAATCAATTATTAGAAATGAGTTCTTAAAAACTATTATGTTTAGAAATATGTTGAAAAAGTTTTCTTTCCCTTAAACTGAAATTGCAAAAAACTTTCCTCAACTGCACATCCAATTGAAATTGCTCTGAAATGAAAAATAAAAATGTAGGGTGGTGCATGATTTTGTCCTTTGGGAACAGATATAATTGTAGAATTATTTTAATTTGAAGAACAAAATGGACAAGGATGGCAGAAACGAGATACGCCCTGGTAGCCCCTCCCACAAGCCATTTTATGCAATCAGAAGTGGAGAAAAGTTGTTTTTGAGGGGGCAGGTGTTGTGATCGCCAGCAGGTGTTTTTTTCCATTGGAAATCATTTCCTACCATCTACAAATCCCAGAAGTCTTTAGACCCATCACTCCTGCCACAGCTGACAGTCATTTAGACACACACACAAACAGCTGAGACCATTGATCATTGATTACTTGAACAATTTAAACCCCTCTGTTCCAAACACATGTTGCTGAGTATTGATTAGCTGTTGCAGTCATTCCAAGCGGTTTCCTTGTTTCTCGTGGTTTTGCCTTCAGACTGTTAACCATGTTAGCCTGTCCTGAAACCTTTTGGCTGTTTTTGGATCACGGTTTTGGATTGTCTACTAAACTGTTTGTGCTGGTTTTTGACCCCTGCTGGCCTGACTGCATTTGGAACTACCCCTGCTGCATGTCCTCCATTTGTAACAGAAACGAAGGTTATAGTATGTGATAAAAGGTTTTGAGGGTAATTATAGTTTTACGAAACATTCAGTTGCTCAGATACATAATTTATTACAAGCACTACTACAAATAAAATAAGTGTACATTTTGATTTTACAACAACTTTACAGACAGACAGACAGACACACACACACACACACAGGTTAATTAGGTTAACTAGGCAGGTTAGGGTAATTAGACAAATTATTGTATAACGATGGATTCTTCTGTAGACTATCGCAAAAAAAATTATCGGCTTAAAATGGCTAATAATTTTGACCTTAATTTTTTTAAAAATTAAAAGCTTTTAATTTTTAAACAAATAAGACTTTCTCCAGAAGAAAAAATATTATCAGACATACTGTGAAAATTTGCGTGCTCTGTTAAACATAATGCATATGTATGTATATGTAATAATTAGACACTGGGGCATCATCATAGAACTTGCAGTCCTATACTAAATCACCACAAGAGAGACCGGGCTCATGGATATTTTAAACGAGGAAGAAAATAGGGGGGAAATGCTCAAAATGAACCAGTTTACCAGCCTGATCTCACAAGTAAATGTAACTATTTTATGTTTTGTCAGTTTAGTGGCTAATTTGTATGAGTTCAGTCATACAAAAATGTATATTTTTTAAAAAGGAGGCATGGCACCAAACCCCACCCCTACAGCAGCCAACCAGCATTGGCGGATAAGCAAATCTTACTAAAATACACGAATGACATTATACGAATTCACGAATTAGCCACTAAATCCAGATGTTACGAATTGCCTTGAGACCATTAAAGCTAACAGATAATTGCTGTTCAACACACAAAACATTTGACAGCGCAGAAAATTTAGTAAAGGGTTTTGTGACACCTTAATGTTTGGTTTGTTGTCCATACTGTCTTTGAAATTGAGCCAAGTCTTTTCACCAGCCCTTAACACTGTGTGTAGTGTTAAAACAAACCACTTTGGTGTATACTGACCTTATTAATGTCTTATCATCAACATATTAGAAAATACAGTAAAGTATTGTTTACATTAGGTTGTGTTTGCCACAAATCCAACTGAAAATAGCAGTAATTGTGTCCCAAACAGATTCAATAATGTCTGGACAAAACACAAATTATCAAGTATCCTTAAATATTTATCATTATTTTTCGTTATGTTTCTGAAAGACGTTTCATCAACGTGGATACACTGTACACAGTACACAACACATTCAGAGCTCACTTTGCTTGGTGGAAGTGATTTGTGTTTAGCTAGGTCGTATCATAGGCTATTTTTTTATTTGTATATGATATCCATGTATGTATTATATTTACAGCAACAGCAAGCATAAAACAGTAGGTTATGTATCTTATGATGTTCAAGTTGTTTATCTGCGATGTCATGAAGCGTCAAGTCGCACGTTACGAGAGAGAGAGAGCGAGAGAGAGAGAGAGAGAGAGAGAGAGAGAGAGAGAGAGAGAGAGAGAGAGAGAGAGAGAGAGTTAGTTCCTCCGCTTTGTATTGGTTCTAAATGGTGGGGCTGAAACTTGAACTGAGAGCAGATGACAAATGTAGGCTACTTTTTGTTGTCGCATTTTTGTTTTCCCTCACGCGAGACACATAACGTTAGACATTAATGTGACGAAAGAGTTTTCCCCGCGACTAACGTTAGGAATTTATTGAAGAACAGTCTATATTGTGATAAACAATGGCTTTTATGTTGAAACACATGATAGGAGGGCAGCTGAAGGATCTTACCGGGGGTCTAGAAGAGAAACCTGAAGGGGAAAAGACTGAAGCTGCGGCGAAAGGAATGACCCAAGAAGAGTTCGAGCAGTACCAACAACAGCTGGCGGAGGAGAAGTAAGACTCAGCGCTTTTATTTGTTTGGTCATAACCATGAATCGGTGATGTTTTATTTTTTTTAAGGGCAAGACACTGCAGGTAAAAGGTGTTTTAGGATACTAGTTTTCATAATACTTTCCCAGCTCATACGTTTTTTTGTAGGTTTTTAAAGATTTCGTTTAAATATGCAAATGAGTGCCTGTTTTATTCAATGAGCTAATTTGCATACATCGAATGAAGTCATTTTCAGAGTTATTGTTTTATTAATGTGACATAATAACATTTTTACACAGGGGATATTGTTCATCTATTTTTACTCCATACATTACTAAATATTGTACACAGCCAGAAAAAAGACTCGTTATGACTTTATAAGCGTAATAAATGAAACAAGTGACTTTGTATGTTTTCTTTAGCCATTTAAGATCGAATAAAACAGTTCACAAAACTTGAAATAAAAATTAAATATTGTTCTTTTCCCTCTATAGTGGCTGACTGACAAACCTTGAATCAATTTGAATTACATTATGGGTATTTTCTCTTTTATTTAATGTAGTAATAACCAGTTAATACAGTTTTAATGTCTGTGTAATTTTTAATAATTTGTGGTTTAAAAAAAAAATCAGACGTTAATTATTATTATTATTATTAATAATATTATTATTCGTATTATTATTAATATTATTAGTATTATTATTAAACAATGAATACCTTGTTGAATGCCACCAAAAAAAATGCCATTATATATTTATTATATCAAAACACGAGGACTACATTCCTTCTGTTTGAATTGAATACACAAACTTCATGGTCACTTGTACAAATGTAATACAAGGAGCGTTGGAGAAGGTCAGTGTTTATCTCCTGCTTACTGTATTTCTGTGGTTTAATCAATACTGCATGTCACCTTGCTCTCCAGATCCATGTTTCTCAGGTTTGGCCTTGAGGACAGTGACTCCTCTGCAGAAATGCATATGCAGCTGTTTTTTTTCCTCCATGTGCATATTTCAACGGTGTTGTATTACATTGTCCTAGACGAATAAAACTTGCTAATATTGAGTGTTGAATGACAATAATATCTATCTATCTATCTATCTATCTATCTATCTATCTATCTATCTATCTATCTGTCTGTCTGTCTGTCTGTCTGTCTGTCTGTCTGTCTGTCTGTCTGTCTGTCTGTCTGTCTGTCTGTCTGTCTGTCTGTCTATCCATCTATCTTTAAACACATAAAAATTTAAATCAAATTTGGAAAACAATATGGACAAACCACAGAATTATTCTTTAAGATTTATACCAATGCATGGTTTTGTCCATATTTAACCAAATTTGGTGTATGTACATATATTAAATAATAAATATGTTTTGTTTTATTACAGTTTATGTACAAATAAATAATTAGATTATTAAAAATTCATTTATTTATTACATTTATTGTAATATAGTTATATTTGTAACAGTTGAAGTCAGAATTATTAACCCCTTAGATTTTTTTTTCTTATTTAAATATTTCCCAAATGATGTTTAACAGAGCAATTACATTTTCACAGTATGTCTGATAATATCTATTTTTTTCTTATTTGCTTTATTTCGGCTAGAATAAAAGCAGTTTAAGCTATATTTAAGCTATATTTTTATTTATGTCTGTCAAATCAAATTGACCCACACATAAATGTTTTGCATAATTTCTTATTGCTATAAATATTTTGTAAAAGAATACATGCTATAATGTGTATAAATTAATATACAGTGCTCAGCATAATTGAGTACACCCCATTTTGAAAATGAATATGTTTATTAATTTCTTAGTGAATATAGGCAATGTGTTTGGGGATTCAGATTTATTAAACATATATTTATTAAAATAATATTTCAGTCACCAAACATTTATAGAAAATGAAAGATAATACAATTAGTTTCAAGCTAAATATTGCAAAAAAAAAAAAAAAAAATGACAACCTGCAAAATTACAACTGTTTTTCAATTTTTTGCTTCCTTTTGATTTTTCCTCTTTTTTAAATTTTGGGTTTAATATTTTTTTATAACATAAATTTGGCTGTACTCGTTTTTGGACCGTTATTGTAAGTTATTTTGAATATGCTCCAGATTTGGCTTTAGTATTGACTAATCTAATGTATATGCACAAATATAATATTGTATAGCTTCCCATTAAAAATATAAATTTATAAGATATATTTGTGAGAGGTGTACTCATATATGCTGAGCAATGTATACATACATTACTACCACTGACAAAAATGCTTTAAATCTTTGAATGTCCAAACATTATTCCTCTAGGTTGGAAAGAGATGCCAACTTTGCCCAAAAGAAGGCAGAGCGAGCCACAGTCAGGAGCCACTTCAGAGAAAAATACCGTCTTCCTAAAGTAAACCTCACATTTATAAAACACACCGTATGACCCATCCTAATCACATATTCCATTAACATTAACACTAACATTTACTATCTTTTTTATTACCAGAGTGAATTGGACGATACTCAAATTCAGGCTGCGGCTGATGACGTAGAGCTGCCCACTGAACTGGCCAAGATGATCGCTGAAGACAACCAAGAAGAAGAACACAAGCAGTCAGTCCTCGGCCAGATCACCAACATTCAGAACGTGGACATGGACCAGCTGAAAGAGAAGGCCCAGTCCACCCTCGAGGACCTGAAACAGACTGCCGAGAAGTGTGATGTCATGTAGGACACAAAAAACAAGGATCAGAGGTGATTTTAAGGGATTGTTCACCCAGAAATGAAATACACCCTCATAAAGAAGCCAACTGCTACAGATCAAAATTATGACTTACTAAGTCTGATTTCCAAGTCTCATAAATTTGACTTATTAAATAATAATTTCATTTTAATATACTATATTTTCCATATTTAATGTCGTATTTGTGACTGTTAAAGGTGACCTATTATGCCCCTTATTACAAGATTTAAAAAAAGTCTCTTATGTCCTTAGAGTGTGTAAGTTGTGTAAGTTTCAGCTCAAAATACATCACCCATAATGCTTTATAACACTTTGAATCTGCCCCTTTGAGGCTTTGATTTTAATTGTGTCATTTTGGTGACCGTTGCTTTAAATTCAAATGAGATTGTGTTCTTTTTAAAATAGGGCAAAGCTACAAATGCCTGTGTGTCAGCATAGTGGAAGATTCAAAATCAAGACTAACGTCCTATGCCAATGAGGGAGAGATAATCACTAATGGGCGGGGCATTCCCCCTCTGATGACACTTACAAAAGTAGAATGCCAATCATCGTGTTTCTGCAGACTGATTTCATCAAATTGTGATTATAAAAAAATATTGTCTTCCCTTCGATGTTAGTTTTATTCACAAAATGTTGCCACACAAATGTGTTTCAAGAGTTTACACTTAGATATACTTGGCGTTAATAGCAGATTTGGCATGCTGTCCCGGGAGAGAATACCGAGCTTGGAGAAAATTGATCCTAACTGTACGTTCAGACCTAAAGCGGCGAGAGCGTCGAAGCGATAAGCGAAGTGGAGCAGCATGGTGCGGCTTCATCGGTTTGGGCGTCGAGGAGAGTTGAAATCATATTTTTTTCTTTTTAATAAAGTGGGAATTTCATGTGACAACAAAACCAATGTTGCTGCTTCAGCATATTTCAGACATATTGGATAAGTGGAGCAAAACCAGACCACATGCAACTTGATCTTCCGTAGTTAAATGAATTTAAATACGAAATCAATGTAGTGAAATTTGACACTTTAGCCGCCGGAGCTGAAGGCAGACAGTGTTGTCGCCAGGGTGGCCAGAGCGACCTTTGACGCTCTCACTGCCTTCGGTGTGAACGCATAGTAAGGCTCCCGCCTGGTCAATAAGCATATAAAGAGGTTTCAAAAAAAGGAAGAAAAAGGAGGAGATGGGGTGGAAGGGGGGATTCTTCCGAAAACAAAGATAAAGCAGTAGGGTGAAATCGGTCTATTTATTGTAATTGTAAGCTTGGATCAATCTGATTGGATTATCACTGATTACAGATGAAAAGCCAGCTGTGACCAATCATATAATGTGCTCCTCAAAATAATTAGTCCTTATAAAAGGATTTTAGCATAATAGGTTTCCTTTAAAGTTGAAACAATAACTTACTAACTTGTATCTCATAATTATAGTTAGTAATTCATCATTTTAACTTTTAAGGTCTTAATTTTGATTTAAGTGTCACACTTCTTTTCTTAAAATTCAGAATTTTGATTTCTCTTTAGTATGTTATAATTCTGACATTTTATGACTAACTAACTTTATTATAACATATTAAACTGAAATAACAACATAAAAAGATTAAACTTTTATATAATTAAGTCAAAATTGTGATTGCAAAAGGGAAAATATGACTTACTAACTTGAAATGATAACTTTACAAATCTAGATCATGATCTAAATTCTGACTTAAAAAGCTGATTTATTTACTAACTTGGAATTATGACTTTACAAATCTAAATTGTTATCTAAATTATGACTTTAAAAGCTGAAATTATGCCTTGTCATAATTATCAGATTAAAAAGTCAAGATTTTTGGCATAATAATACGTAAAATTCATTTGTAAGGAACATCAGTTCTCGCTACTTTGTGCCATCATCTCATAACATTGAAGTCATAATTTAGGCATAATGTGAAATTAGTAATTCATAATTTTGACTTTACACCTGAAGTTCTTTGTTATTTAATGTATTTTTTATTTTATATAACATTGGTATCCATAGTAGGAAAACAAAATTTGTTTATAACATTCTTTGAAATATCTTCTTTTGTGTAAAGAATCTTCATTTTTTGGTGAATTACCCCTTTGAGGTAGAATGTGGGAATAAATCAGATCTGTCTGTCAGATGATTTGTAAAGTACTGTAAGTCTCTGGTTCATTAAAGACAAACTCCATCTCAAAGCCAAGCCATCAATTATCAAATAAATCTGAGGAGTGACTGTTGATATCACAAATAATGTTGACCATATTGTATACATTATATTACACGTTGTCATTATTCTAGCTAAAGGCAATATTTATATGTCACAGGTACCATGTTTTACATGTTGTCATTTAGTGTTCCAAATATGTTATATTTGTTAATGTTGCCTGTAAATCAGCCTGGAATTGTACAACATACAGTATTTGAGTCATTGCTTACATGTATAGTATATTTATTATTATTATGTATAAATTGCCTAATTGAAATAAATGTATTTATGTTTTTACAGTTTTATGTAATATTGATGCATTTACTTTCAGTAAATGTTCTGTAAACATTTCTTTTTTTTGTTGTTGCTTTTTAAATGCAACATCAAGCTTTTTAAAAATAGTATTTGTCATTTGTATTTCATTTTATTTATGTATAATATATCAGTCAGGGACACAAAAAATTTAAGTTTCATTCATTCATTTTCCTTCGGCTTAGTCTTTTTTATTCATCAGGGGTCTCCACAGCAGAATGAAGCGGCAACTTATCCAGTAAATGTTTTACACAGCATATGCCCTTGCAGCTGCAACCCAGTACTAAGGTACACACTCATTCACACACATGAAATGGATTATGGACAAACCCACGCAATCACGGGGAGAACATGCAAACTCCACACAGAAATGCCAACTGACCCAGCCGAGGCTCGGACCAGCAGCCTTTTTGCTGTGAGGCGACAGCGGTACCCACTGCACCGCCTAATTTACTAACTTGTATGTAATATTCATTGTTTGTCATAATTTTAACTTTTAAGGTCATCATTTTGACTAAAGTGTGTTAAACATTTTTCATCAAAATTCTGATTCAAGTTAAGTTGGTAGGTTATATTTTTGACTTTTTATTCGTGAATCTGCTTTAGTACATTATGATTATGACTTGTTATGTCATGATTATGACTTTTAAAGTCAGAATTATGACTTTACTAACTTTATTATGACATTAGATTGAAGTCATGAGATAAAATATGATTCTTTAAAAATCAAAGATGATAGAATCTGCATTTTTGGTGAACTATCCCTTTAGAGTAGAAAGTGGAAATAAATCAGATCAAAATGATTTGTACAGAAAGACTGACGAAAAAAGGCATCAAAAATAATTAAATCTGAAGTGACTGTCACAAATAATGTTGCCCTTATTTCCCAGTTTTAGGAAACACCCTCACATTCACACACATACACTAGGGCCAATTTAGTTAATCCAATTCACCTATATCGCTTTGTACTGTGGAAGAAATCCACGCCAACACGGGGAGACAGCGACCTTCTTGGTGTGAGCCACTGAGCCACCGTGTCGCCCCTCTCCTAAAGATAAAATTACAGTAGTATCTCACTTAAATAAATCCAGCGTCGTCTTATAAAACAGTCAATCTGGACCTGGGAACTACTCTACAAGGTCCATGTTGTCGAAGGCTCATTTTTCGGTAACGCAACTTTGGTGCATCAAGAAAAACATTCCGTTTTCATGTAATAAATGAAGTTCATGTAACAATAAATACACCACAACAAGCAGGACTGTCATCATTCACATTTCATAAACACGAGGAAAGCAGCGATGGACACCGAAGCGGATCTCTTTTATCGCCAGCTACCCAAAGTGGTAGGAAATGACATTAGATCAGATTTAATGACACTGCAGGGTTAAAAAGTTATCTTGATTACATTCAGAATTGCTAACATTATAATGCTAACGATACAAGTTTTTTTTATGACACGTAAATATATTTAAATTAAGTATTGTTGGGTTTAACATGCTCTAATTTGCAAACATGTGTAGCACTTGTTTAAATATTCTTAGATTCTTGTTATGATTTTTTTCTTTAAGGTATTAAAGAGAAATATTTTTACAGATGGATTTAGAAATATATTTTTATAGTTTCGTAAGCAAGAAAATACTGCAAAAAGCCAGGGAATAGCATCTTACATTTTTTTTGAGGAGTAAAACGTGGTATACAATTAGACAAACTATATTATGAACACAGATTATAGATATGAATAAAACAGTACAATTAGATCTATGTATTGCTCCTCACTTGGAAATTGTTTACAATACGCATTTTAAAATGTTTCAACATATATATATACATATATATATATATATATATATATATATATATATATATATATATATATATATAGCAGGAGTGTCCAAACCTGGTCCTGGAGGGCCGGTGTCCTGCTTAGTTTAGCTTTAACCTGCCAGAAAGTTTCTAGTACATCTAGTCAGAGCTTGATTAGCTTGTTCAGGTGTGTTTGATTGGGGTTGTAGCTAAACTCTCCAGGACACCGGCCCTCCAGGACCAGGTTTGGACACTCCTGCTGTATAATAAAGTAATTAAAAGACACAGTAAAGATCTGTAGGTCTTAAAAGTATGATTAGGGTATTTCGAAGTTTTCCCTGCGGTGAAAAAAGGCAAATATTGTGTATTGATGAACATATTGTACAAGTGTTAATGACATTAAACTTTTACTTCTCTTACAGGAGCTGCACGCGCATCTCAATGGTTCGGTGAGTTTTGAAACCATGGAGAAGCTGATAAAGCGAAAACCGCATCTAAACATCGAGCACAGCATGACGGCCATCCGCCGCGGACAGCGCCGCACACTGGACGAGTGAGTGACAAAAACAAACACAAGCCTGAACACTGCTTTACTGACAATGTTTTTTGACCACTACATTCCATGTCACTAGCGTGAAAAATGTGTCAAAATACACATAGTATGAATGTAAACCAGGGCTATCACGTCTGTCAAGTTTA